CTCACGAAAACGTATTACAAGAAAACTATTACAGCTTTTAAAATAAGCGGAAACAAGCTCAATAAAAATCAGTGTATGTATTATTAGCAGTTCATGATTTCAATGGAAACTGCTTCTTTTAACCTGCGCAAGCAAATAATAAGTGTTGACAGACTTTGTGGCATTCAACGGAGAGTATTCAGAAGGTGCAAGGAATAAAAGCTCTGATAAAACTATCATACGCGTACTCGAACCGAGCTATCTAGGGTGTACCTTGATCAGCAGGACGTTTCATCCACACATTTACTTGAAAATAGAGATAATTTGCATATGAAAGCTATAGTGTAAAAACCAAATGGAATGTTGAATTAAACAACAGACTGAATTTTACTCGCATTTAAGAGATTAGATCTACTATTAATCGTATACTTCTCTATTTTCACATTACTGATACCAATTTACAACATGCACTTGTAATGTTGGTGCTGTTTATACGATGAATTTAACATAGACCTGGATAATTGCTCGCTAGAAGATACTTAAGAGTACAAACCGTTCAGGTACGGAATTGCGATATTTTGGGCCATAATTATTTAGTGCGGCAGCGCCAGAAATGGTTTTGAAAGCTCCGGAGGATTCATATTTACTAGTCACTTCATATCGAAGATATGAACATCGGTGCCGATGAAAAATGGCGCTTGTAGTTAACGAACATGAACGATTAATGTTCAATGGAATTTGCTTTTTTTAGGCTTCTTGTAGGTTCAACCAAGATGTTCACTGTCTTTCTGGTATGTATGTAAATTCTGGCAAATGCTTTGATAACTAGCTACATGGGGCACGCCCTGTTCATTGGGTTTGAAGCGGTAATGCAGGCGGTAGAGTCAGTCGACGTCGCCATCCCAAGTTACAATTAGGAGGATATAACATCCTCCTGATCCTACAAAAGCTGAAGATCGAAACAAAAACATGAGTTGACATAATTCAAATTTAGGATATTTAAAATACATCCTATCAACAAATGAAATTTCCGGATATATTCGAATTCATAACGCAGAGAATAGGTATGGCGAGTAGTATCATTTAAATGAATGATATAACACGTTTGCGAACATGTTAAGATCAAATACCATGCTAGCTACAACTACTTGCTACAAGTCGGAGTCCACATACCTGAAGAGGTAACCTTTGAATGGCAGATCTTGTTCATGTGGCCGAGAGTGACCACAGCGGCACATCAAAACGGCTACATCTGATCTTGACACATGTTCACAAAAATGCTTCAAGCAAAGAGTAAAACAAATAAAAAATAGTTAGCGAACTCAATGGATAATAGTAACCGTTAGAATTCTCAAAATGATAATAAGACAAAAAAGTCTAGTCTTTGTTCACGTCCAAAGATATAAAAAAATCCTACATAAAATTCGACGACACGATGCCCAAAACTCTAGCAAATAATATCATCACCGAGCTTTGCAGAGTGGCGTGAAGGTGTTGAGAGCAATGGCTTTAATTTAATCTCCATTACAATTACTTGATGCTCCCAAAAAAACTGAAAATCCTTTAATAAAGAAATAACCAAAACATTCGTAGATAACGTATTAAAACAATCTTGCATGTACACAATTTTTTACAAGCCATATCGAATCGAAAATAGTTTTCCTAGTGGATTGGTTCAAATAACGAAATGACTGTGGAACTCGGAAGAATGCCGAGGAGGCACGCACAGGTGTTCTTTACAGGTGAACCAGCGTTTATAGCTCTGGAAGGCGACGAGGCGGAGTCCAAATGGTGCACGTATCCTCACCGTGCTATGTAGGGCGCGCCTTGTTCATTGGGTCGGGAGCGGCGGTGGCGGCGGCGGTGGCGGTGGCGTCCGTCGGCAGAGGCCCATCCGTCCGGCGTCGGCGGCGGCGTCGGGCGCGTGGCCGGGCGTCGGGACGCTCCCGCCGGGGGCGGCGGCGGAGGCGGAGGCTGCGCGCGGAGCGGCGGCAGTCCCGTTAGGGCGTGCGCTCGCGCCACAGGCCGACTGCCCCGTAACTGTTCTCTGGGCCGAGCCCGGCCCGGCCCGGCCCGGCGCGTCCCAGCGCAGCGCCCGGGGCCCGCTGCCCTCCGCGGCCTCCATCGCGCCCGTGATAGCGCACGCCCCCCGCCCGACAGGTGCCACCGGGCCCTGCCGCCGCCGCAGTGGGTCAGCGAGGTCGCGTCCGCGGAGGCCGCGCGCTGGGAAGCGATCTATTGACGCCACGTGCACCTGTTTGGGTTGCTGCGGGGAGAAGTACACATGGGAGCACACATGCTGCAAATTGCGACTGAATGTTGCCGATATGTCATGTACGTAATCAGATCCTCACCAAGTATTGTATTGCAAGCGTTGTATAAGTACATATAATTTTATAATAATATTTGCGTGGTTTTTATTGACGAAGATAAATAAGTTGCTGTACAGTTTTGGAGCAATGAAGTATTACACAATTTTTCATTTCATAAGGCCTTTTATTTTGAAACAAAAGAGGTTTTGACAAAGTTAAAAAATTATACGACTATTTGTAGTTATAACAATCAGTTACTAATATGAAATTTTGTCATTTCATTGTAAGTTTTTGGGGGGTCAGGTAATGATAAAGAATTTTTTTTCATCAAAAGGTATGTACAATTTTACTTTTTTAGCAATAATAATGTGAAAATTGAATTATTGACAAACGAACTTTTGCCTTTGAGCAATGTCTTGTTTGGCTTTATACGAGAAAGTTTGTGCACTGTTTTGCTTGACGGGCGGGAAGTTATGTCCGAAAATATCTGATACTTAGGACTGTTTTGAGGTAATATTGCATAATGAATGAAATTGAACAATAATTGTATGGGAAGAGCAAATTATAGTGAGTGAGAAGAGTAACTAAAATCGGTCGCCAATTCTTTCTTCCGTCCTTGTATAGGAAAGACCCAATCTCGTACCTCGGAAAGGGCTGAAGCTTTGTGGCAGTCCGCCGTTTTCAGAAAATGAAAAATTTCTATTTTTCGGGGTGACTTCTGATTTTCCTTTGAAAGAAGTGCCTCCGGGTTTCCTGGTTATGATTATTAACCCCTTCGTTGACCTGGGCCAACCCTAATGTCGTCGCTGTCTCTGTCATGCTGAGTTGGGGGCGCGGGTACTAATTGGGAATATTGTTGCCTGGAATGTGAGAAATGATTCAAATGCGTTGTGTTGCATTAGCACTTATTTTCAGAAAACAATTAGGGGCATGTTTCGGTAAGACTGGGGATGGATTAAAATGTTACTGATGTTCAAGGAAAGTTGTATTCTGAATTGCACTTATATTAACGAAATAAGTTTAATTGAGGAAGTTTGTACAATTTGTTTTGTGTCTGAAGACCACTAGCCTACGTCACAAGACAAATGTTTTTCGAACTTGCGTGAAATTTAGGAATGATTAAGGAAATGTTGCATAATGAGTAATGAAATGAAGAAATAACAGAAGTTGAGCAAACAGTATTATGTTTGGAAGATTAATGAAAGAACTTGTGAGACTTTCATGAACATGTATTTCCAGAAGAGTGTCAACATGGACAATCGATATTTAAATTTTATTATCTGAGAAGTTGAAGGCGACTGTGTTGATTGACGAATCAAATTTCATTTCCCCCATTCTGAAGATATCTAAGAAATAATCGTGCAAATTTCTCAGCGTTTTCCCTTCTGAGCGAGTTGCTGACGGAATTTACTAAATCTGGTTGTTCACTGGGATCATCTAAATCACCATTGCTGGCCTCAAACCTGGCCACTACCACAGCAGTGGGTATTGAGGTCGCAGCCGCCAGTGTGGCTAACTGGACGAGATGGAATTTATAGTTTGTTTGTGCACTTGATTAGAAAAATATTGATCGAAATGTGGTGGATTATCAGCGTATTTGCGTTGGTTCGGTAGTTTAGTGAATAAAGCAACTGACTGCATATTACGATGTATTCATTTCTCAGGCTAATAAACGTTACCCCATATTTTACTGGGAATTGAATGAAATTCTATAAAAACAAGAAATGCTGTGGTGTTATGGGCATGTACCTGAAAGTCTGTGCAGTATTGTCACCACCACTTTCTCTCGTCACGAGAGCCATTAAGTCGCTTGGAATTTGATATTAATTGTGGTGTTGTATAATGAAGTAATTGAAGTAATATTGGAAGTGGACCAAATTATTAATTCCATTTTGAAGAATTGCAGATATTTGAGTTTGGTGACATCTCTGAACCTTCCTCTTCAGAGTTAACGGCTCTCATCACCTCATGGTATGTTTATTCAATGGATTCTCCTACACCAACTCCTCGAAATACCGAGGTATCTGCGGGCTGAGAGGAGTGGGTCAGTGTTACTGTCTCAAAGGAGGTAGTCTCTACAAGACCGGATGGGGCAGGACTCTTTGTTGGACTGAAGGCTGGGTGAATGGAAGGAATGTGGTAATCGGTTTACAGCTGCGAATCGGAATCACCTGTAACGACTGCCATCACAATAGTAATGCAGTTAGACACGTCGGTAGGATGGTAGACAGCTGGAGAGAGTTTCAAGTTTGCGCTGGAGGTTTGCTAATACATTCTCGTATTGTAAAAGTTGTAAATAAAAGTCTTGGCATTAGGTTATATTAATCTGTAAGAAAATAGGCATTTGTCGAATTCCGGAACGAAATGATAATCAGACCTGGAAAATTAAGACGCATAAAATTGAAATACATGATTATCACTTTTGCATGGTTACGTAACTTCATTAACTTCCCCACTCACAAGCAGGAAGCAGTCATGTCTACATTGAGAAGGTATTTTCTAACTCTTAATCATCGAAAAGATATCCGCAGTAATCAACTGTGTCGATCGACTCTGCCAAATGTTGCATTTTCTCTCTTGATGTAAAAGCAATTGTATTTCCCTTAATGGTATCTTGTTATTAATTAATTATGGATTTTCTACAGCGCATTTATATATCGTTGTTATTTGGATTTACGAAATCTGTACCACCATTGTTCCTTTATCCAGATCGTTGCAACCATTCTGGAGTAGTCAGGCCAGTCGCCTTCCATTGCTCTATCGCTGGGACTGCGCTCAATTCCAGTACGATCCACGTAGAATTATTTGTGGTGAACGTTGCGGGCTCAAGTTGCTCGTCGTGGGTTCTCGGCGTTTTCCCACTTTCGGTGCGTGTCATTCTACCACCGGACCATCGCCGTTTATTATTTTAACATCATTCCACATACACATCATCAATCATAATCATCCTCATCACATCACGCCATCTCGTCCCTACCAAGGTAAGTCGAAGCGCCTTCGTATAGTAATCAGAATCTAATAGCGTGATACTGAGTTTGTGACGCTTCCATGATATTCCCGAATAAAAGACTACGGCAGTTATCCAATTTTGAGCCAAAGGTATAAACCGAAGAACTTGCCTCCACTAAACAGAATTGGTAACTCCCAAACTCCAACGCCCACCCAAATTCCCACCTCCACCCCCACCCCCAAGCCCCATGCTCCCCAACCGCACCCCAGACCCCCAGGGCGCCAGGACTCCACCGCGCAACCCCGTAGCCCCCAAACCCTAGCCCCAACCCTACCCCAACCCCTGGGCGGGAGCCCGAACCCCCCCTCCCCCACCCTCCACCAACCACAGTAGGATACGAGCTCTATCCTGTCCCTTGGATTCGGAGCGTTCACGCCCCCGTCGGGGTCACCGCCCGCTGAGAGAAAACGCTCCGGAGCGTGCGCGGAATGCGAACGGCGCGCCGCCCGCTCTGCAGCAGCCTCACGTCGCACGCTCGCATGAGGAGTGCGTGCCAATGTGACGTAACGCGCATTGTGGCGGGCAGGCAGATGGCGCTCACACAGACGTAGCCACGCCCCCAGCGCCGGCAGCCACTCGCAAGCGCTCAGTAACATTGCGATGCGATCGCATCGAGTGACTTGTAGAACGGGCAGGGGCGGTTCTTGATCCATTCAAAGCACGCCTTTGACAGGTACGATGTGATGGCAATTGTAATGGGGAACCTTTGTGGGGAGATGAAGGTAATTCTGAACTAATACGTTGATTCAGTGCTTGCGTACATTGTATGAAAATGTGTTTATTTAACTTGGAGCTATAATACGAGCAAGAAGGAATGTATTTCGCACGCGGTGTGCTAAGTTTGGGTGAATCTTGATTAATAGCGACAAACTAATCGTACACTTTATAAATGTGTTTTCTGACGCGCCATTAACGTAAATGGTTAATAACATGTGAAATATACTTCCCTTATCATCTGAACTTATTTGCTAAACATCCGGTTCGAGTTAGGAATATTATACTTAAAGTAATTAATAAAACCATGAATAAATTGTATGATGTTATATCCTTTTTACAAAAAGTTTACCATTTGCATTTGTAATCATCTAATCACTGGCAAACGGCTTAGAAAAGAGAGCATCTTGGGATAGTTGTCTACATTTCATTAACATTAATTTCAGTATTTTAAATATATTTTTCATGTTTTTGTACATGTGCAGCTATTATATTATGGATATTTCTTCTATTTTGCATTAAATGCCGTAGTTATTAAACTACTTTAAACTTGTGTTAATATAACAAACATTAAATACAAAGGAAATTATTCGCAATGTCCTTCTTGTACATGCGTATTGGTATTTATATCTTGAACAGTACTTTTCTTAAATTATGCATTATACCAATCCCACGATGTCTAGATCTGTTACTAACTTTTTCACTGATAAAATGGCTGAAGTCGTAGGCTTTCGCGACCAGATTCATTGGGTGCTGTTGGCTGTCCGAGTGACGCCACATCGAAGGCTATGGTACCCATGTTTCGACCATCTCTTCTTGATCTTTGTGGTTTGAAATGGATTCTAAGCTGATCAGTTTTAAGTGTGTTTTTTTAACCAGCACATAAAAAAACCTACATTTTGTCATATACGAGTATAAATTAATCAGTATACAGTTTACATTTAGTACAACTCGTTTACGTTCCATTCAGCGCAATCTCGAGTCAGCAGAGGTTTCGTTGATGGGAATGCTGGAAAGGAAGCGGATTTCAATTAATGATCGCCGCCTCGGCCGCTAAGAGGCTGAGAGAAAGCTGATCGAGGTGCACAGATGTGCCCTGAGCCTTGAAATATGCGGCCGCGTAGAAATGGACGCGGCGGCTGGAAAAATGCCACACTTCACACTTTCGGATTTCTCCAGAGGAGGCTCCAGTGCGGAGCGGAGGACGGGCCCGGAGAGGACGGGCCCGGAGAGGACGGGTTCGGAGAGGACGGAATGAAGGCGTAACGAGAAGGAAGTTACCAGCAAGTTATAAAATGTGGGCTCCGTTGCTCCTAAGTAAAATTGGACACTAGCCGATATTAGCCTGCCGCCGCCGCCTCCTCCTTTTAAATGTAGATGAATACGTACCCAGCCTTGCTTTCTCTTTGCGGCTACGCCAAATTCCCATTAATTTTACAAATGTATAAACAATAACAATAATATATAGAATTGCATGGTTAGTTTAATGACTGTAATGTTAACAGGTAAACTCGCCGTGCAAAACTGGTAAAAAAATGGCTTCAGCCGTTACTATCTCCGACATCACCCACCACCCAAGAAAAATAATCTCCTTCGCTCCCTCCTCCCCCAAAAACCGCGCAGGGACACATTGTGGCTAATTGAAAGAACGAGAAAAAAAAGAAAGTAAAAGGGACAGGCGCGGGGCGGGGCTCATTAGAAATACTTTTCTTCTTCTCATTTGCGTACATCTCGTTCTTCACGGCCTTTCTCTCGCTTCAGCTTTCTCGCTACGTGCTTTGCTCGGCGTGCTTGTCGTTCTTCCAGGGAATGCCTTGTCCTGAGAGCGTGGTATTCCAGTTTTCCGGGATATTATTTCGTAATTTTCCTTATTGCCAATTTGAAAGCAATTTTATGTTATAATTAACTGGTTGAGATACTTTTAGCTTTAAATGTCGAAGTATGCGTAACACTTTTTTATAGTTCTTCGTGTTGTGGAAAATGCATTACAACCTTCTTTTTTAATCTTTCTCTTTTTTTGCCTCTATAAGTTAAATACGCTTTCTAAGAGGGTTGTCTTTCTCTCTCAGGAGTGTTGAACTCCTACCTTTACCTATGACAATCTCTAAACTTTTGAGAGGTCGCAGTGATCATTATTTTACCATAAATTAAAACTCTACCTACAAATGTGCGTGTAGTTACATATTTTTGTCAATAAAAGAATATAGATGCAATGTGTACAATATTCAAGAACCATGGTTAGAGATTTGCCCCAAACTATGCGGAAGTGTAGCGGAGGCAACCACAGGACGAAGACCCTCCAGGACAACCTACCGCTGAGAAGAGTCCGCGCGCTTCATACTGGGCATATGGGCACACAAGAAACATGTGTGCAATTAAAAAAAATATTTAACAGGTAATTATTGCAAAATAATAGAATTATATATCTTGTTACTATGTGGCTAGGACGAAGGCCTTAGAATACCTACATCCAATCGCGTTCTTACCTTTCGAATTCTGCTATTTACCCCGCCCCCCAAATAGTCTCTCCATGGCATCAAAGAAGCGGAAAAGAGACCATAAGGTACGGTAATAGAATAAACTACTAAAGAGGGAAAAAACTGCCGTTGGAAGACAAGTACATGCTAATGTACCAAACTCTTTCTGAACTATTTATTTATTTCCTGGCGTAGACTCCACTTATTCTTCTTGCAGCCTTTGGCCTCCTCAGCACCTGAAACCAAACAGTACTACAAATGCTCGTCAGCATTCTCGCGTCTGAACTTACTTTCCGGACACCCACTCTCAAAGTGCAGTAAGTTTCAAAACCTGCAGGTGCTGATATTTGTGTGAGATTCCTGAAGATGCAATGCATTAGCGCCACTACGAAACTATTCACGAACATGCAGTCAACGCTAACGTTGCCGGAGGGGATCGGGGAACATTGGTAAATATATAGCTCTTTTATTGTAAATCTGTGAGATAAAATAAGTTTCTTACTCGCAAAACATAGTCGTAGTGAACGTATATTTTGCTACCGCTCCTCCACGCTCCAGGGTCGCCCTTCTGATGCTGGCCTTACAATAGCAATAAGATATTAAAGATTAATCTTAAAATTGATTTAGATTATATTAGTATCATATACTTTTCAACATCAACGTTTAATTATTTACCAGGGGGCATCTATAGCAGAGACAAAACGCGAACCATTCGATAATCAACAGTAGGCGGGGTTAGAATATTTATTACTATTTTTATTGTATTAAACCTTTTACCTACACACAATTGACAAAAAATGCTTATGACAATGCAAAGTAATCCAATTCTAGTCCCAGCGACAGCCGGCAATGTCTTTCCAAAGACGGAAACACACGAGTTTACATTACGACTGCAATATCAGTGAAGAAATATTGGCTACATCAGATATATTTATTCCCGCTATGTTTACATTATCAAATATTTTGCGAAATAATATTGCTCGCCAGTTTCTTGCAAGCGAAAAGCCGGCTTGAGAAGCCCCGGAGCACATTGAGCGCGAGCGACTGATCGCAAGATCGCTGGCGGGATATATTGTGTGGCATCTCGCGCCGTCCGTTCCTCTGACGCTACGCTCCCAGGGTTGGTCACCTAGCAGACTTCACGTAACTTCCCTCCGGAGAAGACTCGCCAGTGAAGCCGCAGTTTCTCCGTATGCCTCCCCGGGGTGTGGGGGTGAGGCGGGGGCGGGGGCGGATGTCATTAAGGCCTCGCGGCAGCCGTGCGTCGCGCGGACGTCCACTCCGCCTCCTCCCCTGTCCTCCCACGCGCTCGGCACCGCCTCACACGAGCGAGCACCTCGACCTCCGGCGTGGGGACATCGCCACGGCGTGGGGACACCGCCGCTCTTGCGCCTCGTACCCAACGTCAGCCAATGAGCTCCAGATACCTTTTTACGTCACAAAATTAGCGGGAATTTGAAATGCAGACTTATAAGAAAATTATCACCACGTTTTATTATTATTATTATTATTATTATTATTATTATTATTATGATTATTATCATTATTATCAATATCATTATTATCATTTTTATTATTATTATTATTATTATTATTATTATTATTATTATTATTATTATTATTATTAT